GCTGCTGCTGCTACCGCCGCCGCCGCCGCCGCCGCCGCTGCTGCTGCTGCTGCTGCTGCTGCTGCTGCCGCTGCTGCTGCTGCTGCTGCCGTCGTGGTGGTAGAAGCAGCGATGGTGGTGGTGGTGACGGTGGTGGGTGGCAGGGGAAGTGGAGGATGGTCCGGCACTCGAGGAAGCCAGGGCATCCACGGCGCCGACGCCTGGTTTCGTACCGACCACCAGTCCGGTCGATAACGCCACGGCAACCCCCGGGTCGTTCCGGCTCTTCTCCACCTCTCTCCACACTTTTCTCCCTTTTTCACCTCCTGTCGCTGTTCCCCGCGACTTTCTCCCTCTCCCGTGCGCCACCTCCCGTCCCCCAGCGGCGTTTTCTTCTTCTTTCGAGCTGTCTCTCCGTCCCGTTCACCCCGGCACCAGCCACCCCCGGCTCGATATCCTACTTTCTCTGTTCATCCCGGTTCCTCGGCGTCTTTCAGCCTCTCCGCCGGATTCTCCTCGCCCAACCACCACTCCTTCTCTCTCTTCCTCACCTCCTCTCTCTCTCTCTCTTTCGCTCTCTCTCTCTCTCTCTCCCTCGTCCCCCTCTCGCCCCGATTCCCGTACTCAACGACCCTCTCCTTCTTCTCTCAGACCTCCACCTCCGCCTACTCTACTCCCACAGCCGATGCTACTCGCTGTTGCTGCTGCGCCTTCGCCGGTTTCGGCAGCCAGACTAGAACGAGATCGTCCGCGACCAACGAGGACGCAGACGGAGACGGGAGACGCTCTCTTTGTCGAAGTTGGCAGCAACAGACAGCACCCTGGCTGGAAAAGGAGGGACGGTCCACGACCTACGCCTTAGGTCCGCGCGGATCCGCTGTCTCAGCCTGCCTCGCGATCAATTGCACTTTCAAAGCCGACCACCGCACTACTGGGCTACCTCGGATATGCCAGCCAGCTGGACGATCCTGGATTTTGCTGTTTTTTCAGAGAAATTCGTTGTGAAACAATCGACGCGACTCCCTTTCGACCTTGTACAACCCCCAAGAGAAAATGCAACTGCTTCGTGTTATTGATTTCGCTGAATCTTGTATTTCTTTAGGTTTGCGTTGGAATTCGATGCTTGGATGCTTGATCGATTAGGTTGTCGAAGCGTAAGGTGAAAATGGACGAATTTTTACCGTAAATTTTTGGTGTAACCTTTTTTTAGGGGACGTACGAGAGTTAGATCTAGTACTTGTTCAGCAAGAACCACCTTTAATTCGAACCTGTGATTAAATGTCTGAAGGACTAAGGTCGAAAGATATTAATTCATTGCCCCATGGTCTCTTTTACAGCCCCAATGATGAAAACTTCTTTGTTGCCAGTAATTTTCCGCAAGTATAGCTCTTTCGTCACGAATTTGATCCTATAAAGTGAAACTTTAAAATTGATACAAGTCAAGAAATGTGAGTCGTGGAACACGGATGCGCGTTGGTCTCTCATAAAAGAATGAGATAACCCTGTCTTTCCCTAGTATGATATTCCCAAACACATGGTTGCTGATCGCGTTGTTGCACCGAATAAAATTTACGTAAACCAACAATTGAATATCCAAACGATTATTAAGAGAAAGAACAATATTTACATATTAATAATCTTGGCGAGACACATCGTTTCCTGAATTATCTTGTCAGAAAATGTGTGATTTATAAACAACGCTTGCGTGACCAAAAATTTTGATACAAATCATATTACAAGCTTTTTATATAAAACTAGCTCCAAGAAACAGATTACACAGAAACTAATTTCTAATGATTTAATCATAAGAAGCCCTATTACCGTCTCACTTTTGCGACTAAAACTTCCGGTTTTGTCCAGCTAGTATGCACTGTTCGATACACGGTGCTCCGGTAAGCTCGCACACTACTTGTTCGATTGTTTTCGACTACGCCCGCCGTCCTGACAAATAAAGCTACCGGATTAGCAAACATCGAAGATACCGTTCCAAGTTAAATTAACGGGAATCGAGTTAGCCTAACTTCTCCTATATCTCGGGATGGAGATCGTCTACGTGCCCTACTCTCCCGTTCCCGTTGAAGAATCGCGGCTTTGTTAGCGTAAAGTGTGTTCGAGTTCTTTATGTGTCTTTCTCCTCGTTCACAGCGTCGCACGAAATTAATCGCGAGACTTATTTCCGTAAAGATCGAACGCCTTCGGTATATTTAGCTGACTTATTTTAGCTGGACCCCGACTGTTAGAGATATCAATACAGGTCGCTATTCTGAATCTTTAACCTCTCGCCTTACGATTTCATTCTGAGGTTCTTTGTTGGTATTCTCTACAAGAACCGTACAGGATGTTCCATCTAAAACGGGCCACCTATTTATTTATCGTCTTCGCCGCATACATTCGCTATAATAAGAACAATTCGCTACCAAGAGAAAAAAAAATATAACGTAGTTTATAATTATACTCTGAATGATATTTTGCTAACCACGATTAATGGTGTTAAAGTCCTTGGTAATTAT